AAAAAAAAAAAACTATTCTCTTGGGTTAAATGCTAGTCAGAAGGTTTAGAATGGCTGTGAAGTAGCACCTACTGCACTGTTAAAAGGAGAGGGTTTAAGTAATGAAGTATATTTCGGCATCTACTGAACTTGTGATTGAGGTGAGAGTGTCTGGTTCAAGTTGATGTTCTGCATGATTGGAGATATCTTGTGGGGTAAAATACTTGTCTTATTGTGCTTTTTGGCTTACTATTTTTTTTTTTTGTTTTTTAACAACTTAAAAACATGTATGCAAAGTTTTGAAACCCAAATCACCATAGTGAACTTGAGAAGAAGTTGGGGCAAGATTAGTAGTTCAATCATTGAACTGAATTGAAGTATAATGTCATAATTATATTTTAAATATATTAATAATTATGCATAATAAAATATATCTATTAAATTACAAAATGTATACTTTCATAATCAATTTATATTTATTTCAAGATTTGGATTGCTTTTACCCCATGGTCATGTAAAATGTGTTTCTATGTTCCCAAGTAATAGACCTCTGGATTGCTTTTACGAGGTATCGTGTGTACACATTTAAAATCAAAATTTATTTTGCGTTTAATTTGTTGAGTCTCTGCCCAACTTCTGGGGTTTATACTGCCACAAAATGGTCATTTTATTTGCTATGTAGTCACATAAATGCAGTCAGTGTTTCAATTCCACAATTTGTAACATATTAATTCAGGTCTCAAAATGGTCAATGTATACCCTGGATTTGAACTGATTCTTCATATAAGGGCTGGTAGCAGGATTTTGATGCTTTCTACAACTAATATACGCCGTTCCGGGCTCTGTGGTTGTCTGGTGATGTTTTAATTACTAAGAGTATTCTTATATACTTTTCCCATTGTTTCTGATGCAGGAACCATAAATCTGTAATGGTTATCAGACGTAATCAGGTTGTTGGTGGCATAACATACCGTCCTTATGTGAGGTAATGTGTACGTGTATGTGTGTTAGTCGGTTACTATTACTAGGACTAGGTATTCTACTTGTTTGTGCACTTCCTGCAGCTTCATGCTTGTAATTACTTGTCTTAAATTTTTTGGGTTAAAAAAAGAAGGGGAAATTACCCATCCATGGGAGGTGGGGCAAATATTTACAGACGGGTGGTAATCTTTGTGGAGTACAACTTTTGCTGTGTTCTTTTACACAGGAAAGAGTTTCATCCCCATGTATTTGTAATTACTTTGGTCAACTATCCTGATTTGTAATTGCCCCCCCCCAAAAAAAAAAGTCTGGTTGTTAGCTTTCTGTACCTGCTGACAGACAGCCTTCCATGGATGTATTTATCTATTTATTACTTAATTGTACTTACTCCTAGCCACTATAAATATGCTAATCATTCAATAAGTGAATTCTTGGTCCCATATAGCATATAGAGGTTGGGACAGAGGTTTGATCTCAATGGCACTAATTCAATTTCAAGCTGTGGTGGATTTGGGAGTCTGATTGTTATGTTGTCTGTTAATCTTTTATAACTAATATAGGAAGAAATGTAAAATATTTGGAATTCCTGTCAATATTCCTTAATTTGTTTTGTCCATATAAGATGCCTATTTTGCTTCTCCACTGACAGTCTTTTTATTGCTCTAGCCAAATGTTTGGGGAGATAGCATTTTGTGCAATCACAGCAGATGAACAAGTAAAAGGTTATGGCACGAGACTGATGAATCACTTAAAGCAGCATGCTCGTGACGTTGACAGGCTAACTCATTTTCTGACTTACGCTGACAATAATGCCGTTGGTTATTTCATTAAACAGGATTGGTCCTTTTTGTTCCCTTTTGGATTGTGGTTTTCATGTATATGGGGATTTCACTTGTTCAGTTCACGATCAATTTGAGAGGCACAAAAAAGTTGTTTTATAAGATTTTGTTTGTATATTCTCATTGTAAAGATGGTAAGATTAACCCTGCATGAAATTTGCTCTGTTAAAAAGATGAGAGGGAGTGTCTATCTACAAACTACTAGGAAGCCTGCCTTCGAAAGTAATTTGTGAATCCAAAGCATCACTGTCAGTTGACTGGGTTGGGCTATTAGATTGTCATAACTTTTTAACTATTCCATCCATGTTCAAATTGGACTCAGATCAATTTTTCTTCTCTTTGGTTTACTTATCAAAAAAAAAAAACTATTCTCTTGGGTTAAATGCTAGTCAGAAGGTTTAGAATGGCTGTGAAGTAGCACCTACTGCACTGTTAAAAGGAGAGGGTTTAAGTAATGAAGTATATTTCGGCATCTACTGAACTTGTGATTGAGGTGAGAGTGTCTGGTTCAAGTTGATGTTCTGCATGATTGGAGATATCTTGTGGGGTAAAATACTTGTCTTATTGTGCTTTTTGGCTTTTGCTTTGGAATCTAATTTGGATTCATAAGATTCCATTCTTTTTTTGGCCCTGTATGAATCCAACTTTCTTTCCTTCTTGAGAATCCAAATGGGAGTTTGTTGGGTTAAAGTTTTTTTGGCATGAACATCGACTCAGGATGCCTCCCTTTTATTGATGCTTTACTGTTAAAAGGAAGAAGCACGGAGGGAGCAAAGAAGCAAGAAAAAAAAATTCCCCCCTACAATGTGAGTTAGAAGAATAATTCCTTATGTGGTTTTGTCATTTGTGAATAGAAGCATACTGATGTCCTGCATTAATATCCGTGGGCAACAACTAACTGCTAGGAAAGTGGGTCACTCTTCTCAGTTTTAATAGTTATGTATTATTTGTTTGCTAGCCTTATTTGGTCGAGAATTTTTTATGTACACAGTCCTGAATAGAGGATTTCATTTAAATAATGTATCTACTTTGTGTATCAATTTGTAGGGCTTTACGAAAGAGATTCACTTAGAGAAAGAACGGTGGCATGGGTATGTTTTTCACAAAATTAAGGTTGATGTTGAAATTGTTGAGTTTGTTTTTGCATGAAGTAACTTTGGTAAGCCTTAATTAGATGTATTAAGCTTTTGAATAAAACGTAATGCTTTCACTCTTGAAACAAAGTGGAAAATGTTGATGCCCTATGAAGCACGGACACCTCTTCAGCAGCAACGTATGGGTGTCCGACACGTGTCGGACACGGACATGCGATGGACGCGTGTCGGACACTCTTTAACGCTTCTAGAATTTTTTTTTTTTTCCAATCGGACACTTTGCGGACACACTCAGAGACACTTGAGGGACATTGCGAGTGGAGAGAGAGAGAGAGAGAGAGAGGGAGAAGAAGTCGCTCACTTGTAAACCCTAGGTGAAGTTGTCGAAGCTTTTGAATGTCCCTATTGAAGCAATCGCAGATTCGCAGGTAGCTCTCTCTCTCTCTCTTTTCTCCTTCGTCTCATCGTCTTCGTTCTTCTCCCTGTATGGTTGTCTTCTTCTTTTCTTTGTTTCCGTTTCTTTCTCTCTCTTTTTTTCTTTTCTCTCTTTTCTGTTTAATTATATATTTTCTGAACCCCTTTTATGAGGTCAGCTATTGGATAAGAACAAAAATTTGGCAACCCCTCTATTTTTTAATATTCATCTTTGGGTAAGAATAATGTTGATGCACGTGATGTGCCTGACTATTATGACATCATTAAAGATCCCATGGGTAAGAATAATGTTTCTCATTCTAACCACCTATGTTAGTTTTTCCCATTTAATGATGTCTGACTAAGATTTACTAATTTGGTGAGATTATTTTGGAATTGTAGGCTTATGTCATCGAAGTTTCTCTTGTATTTATCCAGTTGTCATTTTTTTTTTTTTTCTATTAAGCTAGTAGCCAGTTGTCATTTGGGGCATGTATAATTGCATAGTTATTGCTGGTTGATTCGCTTTTTAGTTACTGAGATGCCTATCCTGTTAACATGTTTTTGAAAATCATCAATCTTTGCAATACACCTGGGATCATTGTTGTCAAATCGCAAATAAAATAGTGAATTGTTTGCTAAAATAGTGAATCATGAATAATATCGAATCATGATTCGTAAGATTCATTTATTTAATATGATATGTAATTTTATATATTTATATACTAATAAAAATACACTGTTTAAAATAAAGTAAATTAGCAATATAACTAAATTGTATATATGTGTATACATATAAAATCACGTATGTTAGTACAACTAATCAATCTCTTCTATATATCTCAGTAGTTTAGTGAAAATGACATCATTTTATGCATTATGTAAACAAAGACAAAAATAGAGGCGCAATGAATTGTAGTGAATCACAAGTTGAATTGAAAGATTCACTCAGTTTCCAATTCAACAGCACGATTCAAATCCTTTATATGAAACTCATATCAAATCGTATGAACTGAATCGTGAATTGTATGATTTTAACAACCATTCCTGGGATGACATGAAAAATTTGTAATCAAAGTTTTGAAGTTCAGTTTTATGTGAAAGTTCAGTTGCTCAAGCTGTGGGATTACTTAATAAAATGTTATGCATGGTCAACTACAACATCAATTAGTTAATTGGGAGGGTAAAGAAAAAAATAAAAAAAGTCAAAAAAAAGGGAAAAAGAAAATATCAACAACAGGCTTGTGGAATTTTTGAACTATAAGACCAGTTCAACTAAACTGATACCATTTTCCCTCTCTATCTTGATTTGGTCCAAACATTTTGGAAGTTCATTGAAGTATGGTTGTGTGTGGCCAATGAACTAATTATCTTATTTCAGCCATGGATATTAGATGCAGCTCAACTAGCTTAAAAATTTGTTTATGGCCATCTGCCTTCAACAGTGTAATATGTGACTTTGGTGTAGAAAAATTGTCATAATAAATAACATAAACGAGTCAAACTATAACCATCTAGAATCATCCTCTACATATATAGTTTGAGTTGGTGGTTGCTTAAAATAACTGCTGGTCTCTTAAAGGCCTTTTAGTTCAAAGATTCTCTTAACTGGCGGTTCTTGTGAATTGAGGTCTACTTGAAAGTCACAGAGGTGTGATAATAGTTGGGCACATTAAGTTTATCTTCACTTATTGTGCTGTTGCGTTTGAGATTTATATATATATATATTTTAAAGTTGGGCTTGCCCGTTGTGTATTGAAATTGTGATGCTTGGGATATTCATGCAGATTTGAAAACAATGTTGAAGCGAGTGGAGTCGGAGCAATATTATGTAGCTTTTGAGATGTTTGTTGCTGATGTCAAGAGGATGTTTGGTAATGCACGCACTTACAACTCTCCTGAAACGATCTATTATAAATGCGCAAGCAGGCATGGTGCTCTTCACTCCCCAGATTTTTTTATTTTTACTTTTTTGATTATTTTTCTCACTTTGATACTATTACATAGTTATTATACTCATCAAGAAGAAGATGAAAGATTGTAATTCTAACCTTAGACCAGTTGTTGCGCAGGCTGGAAACCCATTTCTTTGGCAAAGTTCAATCGGGTGTTCAATCTGGCCTCAAAATCCAGCATTGATAAATTTCAACTTGGAGAAAATAATCGTTTTTACTTTGTGTTGCGGTCGCTTGGAACATTACATTTTTTTTGTAGTATGCTGATATAATTTTGTTGTATTACTTGGTTGATTCGGCTTAGGATCTCCACCTCCCAAAAGAAAGGGGGAAAAACAAGAAAGAGGAAATTAGTGTGAACATTGTATGATAATTTGTGTATTGCTTGTTCTTTACTGTTTGTGTATGGGTTCTCTAGATATGATATTGGAATCAAAAAAAATAAGAAGGTGATTCAGAAACAAAGGTTTCATTGTTTCTGGCATTTAAATAGGTGTATCATTGACCAAGATGGCATGTAAAGTCACAAGAGTTCTCTCCATATATCTCATGATGGACTCAAAATTGCTATTTATATTTGAATTTTTGTGAAAAAACAATGGAGTAATAATATATGCATTGCTGAAGTAATATTGTCAAATTATGACATTTTGACATTGTAAGAGCTTCTCTAACGGTATAGTAAAAAGCTTATTATTGTCGTTAATTAACTGTTATTATATGTTATGTGGAGTGACTTTTATTTTTTATTTTTAACATAATGTCAAATTAAAATGTTATATGTGAGTCTTACCCTGGGAGATGTAGAGATAAAGGGACTTGTCAAAATTTATATATAGATAAACCTTGAGCTAAATTTAAAAAAGTAATATTAACATATGGTAGCTTTGGCTGTTGGAGAGAAAAAAAAGTTGAGTTTCCTACTATTTTTTAAAAGCAATAACAGCCTATATAGCTAGTCATTAGAGAAACTCTTAGATTTGAACATTGCAAATTAAATTGGGAAAATTAGTCTAACGTCCCTCTATTATTTTTAGTAATGGAAGAGATCTACAATATTATTTTATGATGTCTAAGGTTCTTCAACTCCACACTTAGGTATTACAGAGAAACTTGATATATCTCACAGTTTCAAACCCCTCCCTCTCTCTCTCTTCTCGTTGCTCCTCTCTCTCTCTCTTCTCGATCAAGCTCAATCAGTCCAACAAACCTTGTGTCAAGAACTCATTCGCCACTCTTACTCTGATTGAATCGCCGTATGAAGGTCTTCCACCGTGGCCCGGTGATGATCCCCGACCACTCTCGAAGCTTCTTCAGAGCATTGATCCCCCAATCCCATCACCTGTCCACCTCTTCCGTTCTCATTCTTTGCCACTATTGCACTCCCACCGCTGCTGATCTGTTCGAACCATCGAAGCAAAGGATGCAGAAGTAGAATTGCCTCATTGGGAACAACATTTCGGCCATTTCTTCATTTAGTTCTACATCTTTGTGAGAGATTCAAGGCTTTCATTAGCCATATATATGTGTGTAATTCTCTGATTGAGAGAATTGGTGACTTTTGAGAGCTGTTTCATAAATTGGGAAGATCAAGATGATTCAAGTGGCGCAATAGCTCAATCACGACTTGGGTTTTCCATTCGTTGTATGTATATATGCCTTTAGGGAGTCTGGTAGAAGGTCCTATGCTTCAATTTCGGTGTACTTGCTTGCAGTTTTTGTATAGTGCAGAGTCTGCAAATTATCAATTGCCAACTCCTGTGAATATAACAGTGGTGATAAATTGAACTAAGAGGAGGAGAAGATAAGGAAGTCATTGGTGTCTTTTATATAGAGGATAGAAACAAGGCAGAAGCATCGGATCGAAGTGGTTTCAGGTGATAAATCTTCCAAAGATTGCTTTGTATGTTGAATTCATTATGAATATAGACATAAATATGGTTATTGGATCAAGTCTCTTTTTGTAGTATAAGAATAATGTTGAAAAGATATACAAACTTCTATGACGGAAGAACAAGAAATAAAATAGGCTTTTATTATTATTTTCTCTATAGCTACTCACTTTAAAAGATTAATTGTTCGTTTTATTACTTTAAAGCAAATGAATTTGGCTTTTTATTTATTTGTTTAATCTGATTATTCTGAGGAATTTAATCTAATTATTCGAAGGGTGTTGTGGACATTTCCACACTTCATCTTCGTCTCCAAAAAACGCCATTGCTATAAAGCTCTCTTTCGATCATTCTCTAGGCCACTGTAATGGTGAATATACAGGTATTCCAAATGGAAAACAGTGGATTTCTCTGGAGAGTGGGAAGATTGAATTGTAGACATCAAGAATTTCTTTGGGTTCAAAGAAGAGAAAATTCAAATTTCTTCGAGTTCAAACCAAAGAAATTCAGAGAATATTGAATGCTTTGAATTTTTTATAATTTGAACCCAAAGAAATTCTTTGGGAAGTCTAGAATTTCTTTGGGAAGAATTTATCTAGATTGAAATTTCTCTGGATCAATGTTGAGGGACCTTAGATATCATAAAAATATTAAATTCTTTTATGCTATAAAATTTTAATATTAGAGACCCTAAAAAAAAAATACCCCAATTAAATTTGGCATAAAAATTAATAATAATTAAAATTTGGCAACTTCTTTTGTTACTCTGTTTTTAAAGATTTTATCTGTATATAATATTTTTTATTTGGGAAAAACAGAAAAAATAACATTTACAACATTTGTTTTTTTTTTTTTTTTTTGGATTTGATTTACAACATTTGTTAAATTTTAGTTTGTTAACACTATTTATTATTAAAATATAGCAATACTTGGATGTGTTTGAGGGGGACTATCCACTATTTGGATTGTAATCCAAATAGTGCACCTTATCCGTCGTTTGATTTTTTTTTAGTCCGGCGGACTCCATGTCCGGCCGGACTCCATGTCCCCCATATGGGGGACTATCCTGTCCTGGGGGGTGGGACAGAAAGTGGGGGACTAATCACTATTTGGATTATATGCGAAAATGACCATTTTGACCCTCTACTATTTAATTATGTATTATATTTAATAAAATTCAATAAAATTTAAATGTCTCAATTTAAAAATAAAATAATTTTATTTAACTTTTTATTGATGTTTTATTTATTTAATTTTTTAAAATAATTTTTTATAGATATTTTATTGATGTTTTATTTTAAAATTTTGTTTATAATTTATTTAATTTCATTATTTAAATTGTAATAGGTGTTTTATTTAAAATTTTAATTAAAAAAATAACATATATTTTTATTGATATTTTATTTATTTAATTTTTTTAAAATAAATTTATTTAATTGTATTAAAAAATAAAATAAAATAAATTTTTATTTAATCTAGCTAAAAATAATTAAAATATTCAAGATATGTTTAATATTGCTATTACTTAATAAACAATTGAAAAATGATAAAATAGTCTTTTGTTCATTTATCCTATCTAGTCCGTCTAACCAAACATTGGATTCACTAAAAATAGTTATTTCCAGACATCTAATCTCATAAAAAAACAAACACATGATACATATCCAATCCAACCAAATAGTCTCGGGGATTCACAGTCCCAGGATTCAAATCCGATGGATTCTAATCCCCTTAATCCAGTCCGTCTAATGTTTAATTAGACGGACTGGATAAAGGGGATTAAAATCTATCGAACTGTTAGTCCTAGGATACATTGTCCTTGGACTATTTTCTTAATTAGACTGGATTTGTATCCTATGTTTGTTTAGTCATGAGATTAGATGTCTGGATTGAACTATTTTCAGTGAATCCAATATTTGGTTGAACAGACTGGATAAGGATAAATGTTCAAAAGACTATTTTACCCTTGTAATTTATAATTTATATTTTTTATTTAATATATAATTTTAAATATGTAATCTATAATTTATAATTTAACAACACTAAAAAAATTTAATTTATAAGGCCATAATTTATTATTTATTATTTTTAATTAAATTAAATTTATAATTTATAATTTATATTTTTTATTTAATATATAATTTTAAATTAACAACACTAAAAAAAGATAGTAAATACAATAGGGTCGAAAATGTAATTTCATAAGCTAATCCCATGAGATGAGTTATCCCATGATTTCTATCTCACCTCCCTATGGGATACAACAATCCAACAAATATAGGACTAATAGTCTGGAGCAAAAATTGACTACCAAACAACGAATTATTAGTCCAGACTAATAGTAAAATCCTATGTCCCAATCCTTCAAAACAAACACCACTTTAGTAATTTAGCTACTTAAATCACTAAAGTTAAATATGCTAAAGGTGGAAAGGACAATTTTTTTTTTTACTAAAATATGATCTTACATGTTTTTTTATTGAAATGATTTTAAATGAAGTTTTGTTTAAATTTCAGGTTACTCTAGTTCATTACTTCATGATAATAGACTATTTTAATATTATTTTGATTTTTTATTTAAAATATAAGATAAAAAAATTAGTATGTTTATAATGATTTTTAAAATTTTTTAAGAAAAAAAAATGTAAAAAGTAGAGAGGAAAAATAATTTTTGACTCTTTTTTTGTATAATTTTTTGACTTTTAAATTTTTATTTTTATTTTTATTTTTTTGTGTGCTGTTATTGCAACTTTCCAAACTTGGCCAAACATCAATTGCTAATTAGATCACATAGAAAATTAGACAATTTTAGAAATAAAATTTAAAAAAATTTAGGATAAATTACACTGACACCCCTTGAGATTTATGTTTATTACAGTTTCTCACTCACCTTTTAAAAATTACATCTCTTCTCCTGAGGTTTAAAGTTTCATTATGGATTTCCTTCGTCAACAATTTAATTTTTTTAAATACTAATTTTACCCTCATTGGGTAAATTACATGACACCCCTCACATTTTAGAAATTACAATCCCCTCCCTAAGGTTTAAAGTAGCATTACCAATTGCCTTCTCGGTTAGTATTAGTTGGAAAAAAAATTCATTGAAAAAAAAATTAATTGGAAAAAAAATTATTTGAATTTTTTTTTTTAAATTTTGTTAGTAAAATTTTTAAATTTCTATTTAAAAACTAACATAAACTCATTTTTTGAATTTATGTTTTTCCTTAAATTTACAAACTAAGACAACCATTTATAAATAAAAAAAATTATCAAACAAGTTTTATGACAGTTTTTTTAAATTTTTGAAACATAAATCGAAAACTGAAAACGAAATGGTTACCAAACATGTTTCAGATGGTAAAAATGTTATAAAATTAACAAATAATTAAATAAGTTACCAACGTAAGAAATGACTTACCAAAATATTCTTAGGCTATGTATGGATTGATTTTTAATTTTTTTTTAAATTAAAAATTAATCTGGTTAAGAAATAAAAAATAATTATCATTTTTATATAATTTTTATCTTTCGAGTGGTTAGAAATAATTTTTTACAAATTAAATTGAAACAACCATACGTATGTATATAACCTGCCCAAAAGTTAAAATGATAATTATTTTTTACCCTTAAATGATAATTATTTTTAATTTTTAATTTCTTAACCAAATTATTTTTAAATTTTTAAATTTTTTTCTAAAAATCAAACCATACATAGCGTAAGAATTTTTTGGTAAATTATTTCTTACATTGGTAACTTATTTAATTATTTGTTAATTTTACGATATTTTTATCATCTGAAGCCTATTTGGTTGCATTTCGTTTTCAGTTTTCAATTTATATTTACAAAAATTTAAAAAACTATCATAAAAACTTATTTGATAAAATTTTTGGTTTATAAATGGTTGTCTCAGTTTGTAAATTTGAGGAAAAAATATAAATTTTAAAAATGAGTTTATGTTGGTTTTTAAATAAAAATTTAAAAATTTTACTAACAAATTTTTTTTTCAATTATTTTTTTTTTCAATGATTTTTTTTTCCAACTAATATTAACCGAGGGGGCAATTGATAATACTACTTTAAATGTTAGGGATGGGATTGTAATTTTTAAAATGTGAGGGGTGTCAATGTAATTTACCCAATGAGGGAAAAATTGGTATTTAAAAAAATTAAATTACTGAGAGGGGAATCTGTAATGAAACTTTAAACTTCAGGGGAGATGTAATTTCTAAAAGGTGAGAGAGAAACTGTAATAAACATAAACCTCAGGGGATGCCAGTGTAATTTACCCAAAAATTTAACAACCAAAGTGGGAAAATTAGACCACAATTTAAGGGCAAAGTATAATTTATCCTAATCTGGGTGTTTGGGAAGTTGCTATTTTAGTAAGTTATTTTCGTTTTTGACTATTTTAGTAGTGTTTTGAAAAATTGATAAAAAATTGATTTTTTGGTTTTTTTTTGGCTTTTTTAGCTAAAAAAGCTAATTTTTTTGTGACTTTTTTTGTGTAAAAAAATTTAAAAGTAAAAAAGTTGGCTTTTTACTAAGACCTTATTTGGCAAGTGAATTTTTAGCAAAAAAGTCAAAAAGTTACTAAAAAAATCAAAAAGTCAACAATCCATACAAAAAGTCAAAGATTTCATTTTCTCTCTACTTTTTGTACATCTTTTCGTAAAAAGTCAAAAAATCATCTAAAACATATTAGTTTTTTTTAAATCACATTTTAATAAAAAAACTAAAAAATTACTAAAAAATCTGGTTCCAAACGATGCCCGAGTTCTCAAATTGTCCCTGGTAGATTAAATTTTTTGTATTGGGAAAGATAGTTAAATTTTTTTTATAATTAGATATATTGTTTGTGAGTGAAAAAATAAAATATTTATGAATTTAATGGAATATTTTATTTTATTGACTATTTCAACTTATTTTATTTTATTTTATTTTTTTTTGTGAATTTTAACCAAAAAAAAAAAAAAAAACCAAATTAAGTCATTTCTATATTTATTCAAATTCCAAAGACCATCCCATTTTGGCAAAAAAAAAAAAAAACCATTTTCTCTTTCTCTGGATCGATTGATCAGTTGAGGTTGGCTCGCTCGCTCGCTCGCTCTATCGATCTTGTTGATTTTCGAGCAATCCGAGGCGAGTACAACAATCGAAACGACAGGTTTGCCAATGCTACTAGGTCAAAATTTTATGGTTCAAATGGTTCAAATCAATTAAAATGACGTCGTTTTGCGTGTAAATGAGTGTCATTTTGATAGATTTGAGCCATTTTTCTTGTTTTATTTGTTTGTTTGTATGTTTTAAATCCAATGTGGTAGATTCAAATCAAACCTTCTTGTTTGTCGAATGCGTGTTCCTATGAGTTTATTCCAATTTTTTTATCGTTGTTTTATATGTGCTTACAATTGTGATTAATTTACAGTTAATTGATTGAACATACAGGATTTTCGCTTTCTTTTTTGTAGTGTTGAAAATTTTGATACTCTTATTATGTCTCTCCTGTATGCTGAAAACCCGATTTCTTATGGCCGTATTTAAATATTTAAATTTGTTAAAAAAAAAAAAGAAAAGGGATGCGATTTGTGAAAAAATTTCGTTCACAAATTCCTTTCATTTTCCTTTTGTTTCACAAATTCGTACCCTAATCGAAGATCTAAGCATGTTTTAAAGAAAACAATAGTTTAAACAGTCTCTGAAAAATGAAGGGAAAAACATAAAGAAAGCCTTGATCATCTTTAGCTCTGTTGGGCTTAGAGCCTTGGTCCATAATCCAACTTACAGATGCACTTTGCCATTACTTGATCTGAGTTATGCCCTCTTCTTAGTATAATGCCCTACTGAGTTCTGGTGTTTCAAATCTACACTTCCCCAAGTACTATTTATTTTATTTTATTTTTTGTGAATATGCTGACGTACCGTGTTGCCAGAAAACGTTGATACTCTAGCAAATTACGTATTAGTACGCTTGTTCCGAAACATGGTACACTTTCATTCCAAAATAGTAAATTTAGTGGTCCGAAATGATCCCAAAAGTTTTTTTCCAATATATTTTCTTAAGAGAAAAAAAATCAAATATAATGAATTAAAATATAAAGTGAGTTAAGTTTTGACAAGACAAAAACATCAAAAATGGAAAATAAAATTAAAAAATACATTTTATTGGATGCCTAATAGGTAAAAGAAAATTCCTCTACAAATACCTTAAATTTTTAAGTGTAGTATAGTACTAAATTTTAGAGCATGTGGCATACCACGATCCCGTTCCAGTTTCATGTACCAGAATGATCCGTGTTTCAGGTAACATAGCATTGACCAATATTGTCTGTTAACTTATCAAAAAACAAAATTGTTCATTATGAGTGTATACAATATATATACACATGTATGCATATGTAGAGTGATTATTCGATAGTTCGGGAGTACAACCATGTGGTACTTCATGGTAGTATAATTGGTGGAGAAGGTGGGGTATTTGATTTTGTATTGGATGATTGAGAAATAAGAGGGGCATAATGAATGATGATTGGTGATGGAGCATAGCCACGTGATACTCCTGGAATACTTAATAATTTTCCGCATATGTATATGCATGTATATGTATGTGTATATTTGTATATTATAGGTAGAAAGCATTGGAGTTTTCAATTTTGAAATAACATATCTACTCTTATTAGGGAGAGATCGATGATGATGGAGTATTCAAGTATACACAGAATCTGACTAAAAAAAAAAGAAAAAGGAAAGTATCCCCAACGTCTAATTCTATAGAACAAAGCTTCTTATAAAGGGTTGTTTGGTAAACCCCAAAACCAGTTTGTTGAAATTGAGTCTTTTGTTCAGTAACTTCCCTTGTTATGGGTGGAAACGAGGACACATGCGAAACACTGGAGAGGTAGTTCTCCCTTACTCGTGTTACTAAAAAACCCAATTAGTAAACATTAATGTGTGTTTGGTAGGGAAAAGATTGAGTACACATCTAACCTTTGGCATAGGACACAAAATAGTTGTCCCGAAACTTGAACCCATAACCTCAAGGTTATTAGGTCAAGGTTTTTACCATTGAACCAATGGTCACCCCCCTTTACTCGTGCTACTCTCACTTAAAAATCCACTTGCTCACTATAAGTTTCTTCTTATCACACTAGTGATTGGCCACCATAAGATGAATGTTTCATTCCCATTCACACCTGGTGATTGCAAGCATGCAGCTTATATATCAGATCATCATCTAGGGTTTGTTATGGTTTTTAGTTTGGTGACAGATTGCTGTTGTTTTCAAAAATATATATATGTTTCTATTGGGTTTTGTCATGGAAGGTTTCTCTAGGTTTTTGGTTTGAAATTTGCAATTGGATTTGTAGGGAAAAGGGAAAAAGTTGAATTTGCAGACAGATTGTGGATCTAGATTTTTAATGCTTTCTATTTGCACACACACTTATACAAAATTTTCTCCTATTTGACATTATAATTCATATTTACATAGCTATTCAATAGTTCTACTCCTTGTTTCTCCAATTAATTTGTAGGTGAAGTGATGTAGCACCACATGTAAGCTTAAAAGCATTATATAGTAAGGGAAAATAAACTAGAAATAAGTCAAAAAATAGAAGCAACATCCTACTAATAAGACTAAGGGACTGTTTGTTATAGCTTTTAAGGTGATTATAACTTATTTTGATTTGGGAGTCTGTGCCAGACAGTTTAGTGCAGCTTCTGCTTATAGTTTATTAGGCAAAAATAGCGTAAATAAGCTGATTATTTGAAAGTTGGGATAGGGGTGTTTTTAGCTTCTGTTTTCTGATTATCAGCTTTTAATTTAAAAAAGCTTCACCAAATAGGGCCTAAATCTCCTAAAATTTCTAATCAAATCTGTAATCATTCAGTTGATTTTTCTTGCTCCTAACATTCCTCTTCAATCGGTTTCTTCATTCCCATCATGATATGTACTAAAACTCATCAACTTTACTGCTATGGAAATTTATTTAATTTTTATTTATCAAAAAAAAAAAAGAAAAAATTACTACGGTGGAAATCTTTTATTTTATTCTTTATTTTGTTCTACACAAATATGCCAAATAAATTCCCGATTTTTCTTTAAATGTTGCATGCTAATATCATTTTTCTTCCCTCCTCTCTATCCCTCTTCAAGTCTCTCTCCGACCCACAATTGTATACAAACATCTTTCATAGTATGTTTAAATTGCTTTGATAAAAACTAAGTTATTGATTTTGGTTTTGAACCAAACAGATATAATTTTCAAGAGCAAATAGAATAAAGTTTCTGAATATGCCAGAACTGCAGGGGATTCATCTATTATGGATTGTTGTCATCTCTTTTTCATGGCTGTTTGGTGCTTTGCTCAAAAATCATCTATGGCAATGCACTTTCATGCCTATACACTTTATTTTGTGCAAAGAATCATCTACAGCGATGCACTTGCATGCCTTCACATGGTATTTTGTAAAGTGCTTCTTTTTCATTGGATGTAATATGACTCTAGCACATTTTCTATGTTTAGCTTTTAGCTTGAGTTTTTAAGTGAGTGATTCACAGCAATATCTGACATTCTCATATATTTTCCTTTTGTAGTTTTTGTTATTTATTTGAATGGCTAACAACGCTCAAATTCCTTCAAGAAACTCAGCACTCATTGCTATGATTGCTGATGAGGGGTAAGGATCTTGCACTTGCTGTCTATGTGCTTTAGTAGTGAAATTATATGCCATAGATGTTTCTGAATATAATTGTTTTAGACACTAATATTCATTATAGTTTTAATGTATATAAATATATTTTTTTTAAGAATATTAGTGCATAGCAGAAAAACTGAAGGAAAAGGTTTTAGAATCTCAGTGTTTAGAGTATCTGCATTATGTTTGTCTTGTAGAGATTTCTACTTGGGTTTATATGTAGAATAAAATAAAACTGAAAGATTTGATGATTATAGAATCATTTGATATAGACCGGTGGTTGTTTTTATTTGCAATATATACTCAACATTCTGTCAAGGAGAGAGAGAGAGAGGGAGGGAAGTGGAATATGCGAAGGTGTGTTGCCTTGTTGGGTCTGCCATTGTTTAAAATGTGCTAAAGTGGATGAATTTTATGCGATATGTGACTCCTTTATTTTATTTAATTCACAAAAATATATATGCCCTCTTGTGGCGTATCTTCGCATTATGCTAGCTTTATTTTTTACTTGATCGAGTTTGTTGTCATTTCTGTTTACAAAAGATGCTACCTTGTGGCGTATCTTTCTTTCTTCACATAATAAAGACGGCACAAGTTTTTTCTTTCAAAAGAAGATATGTTGAGTGTGACTTGTTGAGGGCTTCTCTTTATGAGTTATCCTTTGCTTGCACAATTTTTTTCTTTCATGCAGTCCTCATCAGCCATCATTTTCTAAACTGGAGGTGCAAATGTGCTGTGGCTGAGTTAGTGAGAGCAAAACTTGGCTCCCACAGTTGCCCATGTGCAGAAGGTGTATTATGAGGGTATGAGCCTATGAACCTGAAAAGCTATGTTCATTTGGCTTCAAATCCTTTTCAATTGACATCCAATAAGCCAAGTTGAATGGTCTTAACTATATAATTTACTGCATGATTTTAGTTGCTCATAGCAATTATGTTCATGTGTTATAGGGTAGTCCACTGTGTTGGAGTGTAGGAGGTCGGAAAATGTATGGTGTTCATACAAGAATATGTATGATCAGTGAGGCAAGTAATGTGAATAGTAAGCAGGAGACAGAGGAGAGAGTCGCTGGGTGAGAGTAGGGCAAGCAAATCAAGAAAGGTAATGGCAGTGGCGAGGCTCCCTCTTTTTCCCAGTTTCACTCTCTCGTCGGGCTACGAGGATCCCAAGTCTCTCTCAAGCTTATGGGAATCCCACATATCACTCTGTATCGAGTTATGGGAAACCTGGAATCACTCTCTCAAGCTATAGGAATCCCCAAATCATCACCCTAGAGATGTGGGAAATGACTCCTATTTGTAGGCATTTCCTTGGCTCACAAGTGGCCAAGTAGCTAATAAGGTGATGCTACATATCTCAGAGATCACGTGGGCATATTCCTTTCCCTAGATGCAACTCCTCGGTGAGTACGTGCTTCCCTTTGTCTTTCCCTTTAGGCACTACCTAAGTCTCTCAGTAGGACCTCATTTGGTAGGACGTCACCCGGTAAAACCTTACTTGGGTAATGTAGCCTGTATCAGCCAAACTCGCAACCACTTCAGCAAACCCCTACTCTTAGCCACCAAGCCGCAAGCTCCCGAACATCCTGGTAAAGTATCGTAGTGTAGCCTTGTATCAACTAGACTATACGTCATGGGCTTCCTGAGTCTTGCCATCTCGACTGGGGTAGGCTCCTTGGGCCTGGATAATTATATGGGAAGGAGTCTCCTAACTTTCAGATCTCGCATTCTGTATCTTCGTGAGAGTTGTGGTTCTGAATTATGTCATTTTGATACCCTGAGCCTGCTATCAGCTCCAAGGGGACCTTGGCCCTTAGGGGGCACCTCAGGGACTTAATTTTCTTCAAGGGCTTTTCTCACCTTAGAGGGTTTTGCCTCAGCTGGTCTCACCTCGGCCAGTGGTGCCTCAGTTGGTGTCACCTCGGCTGGTTGTACCTCAGTAAGTCTTCCCTCAGCTGGTTGCACCTCGGTAAGTCTTCTCTTAGTTGGTCTCACCTCAGCAAGTCTTGCCTCAGTTAGTTTCACCTCTCCTTTTGGGGTGGCCTTGCGGTTCCTGTGATGGTTCTCATACAGGTTCCTTTCACAGACTATTTGCGGTTTGCTTTTGACCCATTTTTGTTAGAATTTTGCCCATCTTCCCTTTTCAAAAGTGTTCTTCCCGCCAAGGCAATTTTGGCGGTATTTTCAAATTTCAAGTACAACCCTTCTACAAGTAGTTATGAATGTCATTCGGTTTAGTTTCCAAATTAACTTTTGGATCAAAAAAAGCAAAAAACATTTTTGGTTAACCAACTTTCAAAACTCCTTTCAAAATTGTTTTTTCTCTCTCCTCTCTCCTCTCTCCTCTTATTTATTTATTTATTTATATTATTAATAAATCAATCAATCACTTTATCTCTCTCCTCTTTCATTCTCTCACATTCTACACATCAATCAATCAATCAAATTTTTTCACACCCATCCATTCAACTAAAATTTTTTTACAAATCATCCCAAAACTATTTTCAAAACTCATAACTAAACAAATTTTCAATTTTCAAAACTGTTTTTAACAACTTATCTTTCAAAATACAACTCAAAACTCATTTAAAAAACTAAACTGAATGGAGCCTTAGTCTCTCTCTCTCTCTCTCTCTCTAATGTTCTCTAATGTTCAAGTGCAAACTAGCATGCTGCAATGTGGAGCCTTAGTCTCTCTCTCTCTCTCTCTAATGTTCAAGTGCAAACTAGCATGCTGCAATGTGGGGTTGATTTATTTTATCTCCTCTCTTTATGATTTCATGATGGGATAAATGTAGATTGTAGATGCATTATTAATCATATGGCTTGCCAAGTTGCTCATACATCTATCATCAGCTATGTTTCAATTTGCTCATTGTTTCATCTTTGTGTCAGTGTGTTATCATTGTTGAGTTCTTTAAGATGTCTCCTGAAATGGTCCTCCTACTGTTAGAGTTTATCTGATTTGTAACTTATCTGATGTAGGACACAGTAACTGGATTTTTACTGGCTGGAGTAGGCAATGTGGATTTGCGAAGGAAGACAAATTATCTTATTGTGGACTCGAGTACGTTTTTTAGCTATGAATGTTACGAATTTTTTTAATATTTTGTGCGTAATATCATAGAATTTATATGATCAACCATAATTTATTTAGGAAGTTGTTTGTTCATTGTTTTAACTTTTCCTTTGGTTCCACTTTTCTGAATGAACATTCCCTTTTCTTTTGGTTTTTGGGTGGCCCTAAAGTCTAAAAGAATGAACAATCCCTCTTACCTGAAAGATTGAACTCAGTAATAATATAAATGGCTTTTGATGATAGTTGTTTCTTCAGAGTGATTCTCACTAGAACAAATGGCTAATACTAGCCTCCAATAGATTGAAAAACTATCCCCAATGCAACTGGTTGGTCAGCATACCCTATTTGGATTATTGGTGAGTTTTATCATTTCCCAACAATGGATTCACTCTCTCAATCAAGCTCACCTACTGTTACCCAAAGTCCTTTATGTTGTAGATTTTTTTCCCTGCAGCAGCCATGTTACACCTTCCTTTAAAATGAACAGCTAAAAGTTGATTTAAGGAAATTCAAAATTTTCTTTTAAGTTGACGAGAAAGGGGACTTCTTTTTTCTTTTTCTTTTCTTGACTTGATAACTATATGGGCTTGGACGAACGTTATAAGATTCCAAATGTTGTTCTTTCTCTCTTTATCCTTTTCACAATGTATATAACCTTCTCTTTTCCAGTGTTGATTTGATTGAATTATTGGATATTCTTACCTTGGCTTACAGAGATTATTTTATTATGGTTTAGAAACAACGGTGAAACAAATTGAGGATGCATTCAAAGAGTTCACAACAAGAGAGGACATTGCAATAGTGATGATCAGTCAATTTGTAAGTTTGTTTATTATATAATGTCAATTTTTGAATTGGTTTATATGCTCCTCCTCTGTTATGCATATGATAATTAAGAAATTTGACTAAAATGGTGAAAGTCCATATCATATCAGACATGTCACAAGAACCATAAGATGCTCTTTGTTTCTTCTTCTTCATCATGGAAAAATTGAATTTTTAAACATGCACTTTTTACACTTACTAATATCATACGACATTTGACAGTGGGTTTTATTTATTTTCTGGCAATTAGTGAATGTCAATGACTTTGCTACAGGCCATTATGGCTATAATTTTAACTTTGCTAGTGACATAACATTCACTTATCATAGGTCACAATTCACTTTTACTTTTCTGTTTGCTCAACAGTCAGGGTTTCAGAATATTCTGGCTATTTGGTGCAAATTATCTAAGCTGCTTATAGTTTTTATTTTATTTAGAAAGTCTATGTTAGATTGTTTAGTGTTGCTTATGCTTACAGTTTATTGGGCATAAATAATTTAAATAAGTTGAAAAAACCTGACTATCAAAAAGCTGATTAGCAGATGAATGACCAAGTCCCACACATTTGTTAGTAGTAATGGTAGTAAGAGGCAAGTGAGGACTTGGATTTTGCATTGCTGTGCCTTTTCAGTTCTCATCTGATTTCTGAAACAAAACATCACCCTCTGCTCATCTTCAGGTTGCAAACATGATAAGGTTTCTAGTGGATAGCTACAATAAGCCAGTGCCAGCAATTTTGGAGATTCCTTCCAAGGACCATCCTTACGATCCTACACATGATTCTGTTCTTTCACGAGTGAAGTACCTCTTCTCTGCTGAATCAGTGGCATCTGGGAGGCGTTAAATTCTCACCTACATAGTTGATTTATTTCCGCCCATTGTTATATCATGTTTCAGCACCATTTCCCTTGAGTTGCGTATCGTGTCCTGAATCATTTATCTTTTTGCACTTGAGTTGTTTGTTTTCTTTTTCTTTTTTTCATGAAACTTGTTTAAGATGCGGCGTAGCTGTTGGTCTTGATTGTAATTTCAAATAAGCTATATTTATGAAACCATTTATTGGAAATTTATATCTATAGTGAAAATTGATTCAAATGTCATATGTTTGATACATGTTTCACCCCAAGTCACTACTCAGAAGCAGCAAATTGGCATAATCTCTAGTCCGTAAGATTTGTGATGACATGGACATCGGTATGCTTATTGTGTGAGATAAATTTTATGAAATTAATCTCTACTACTTAATTCAAACTATGAATTTGAAAAATTATTTTTTAAAACTGTGTGTTTATTTCATTTAAATTATTAACTAGTATCTTTAACACATTGTTACATAGGTTGACTCACTCGATTGGTTGAAAGTTTTTATTCATTTTGCCCATAATAAATAGATATTGACATACCATGTAACAAAATAAGTTGTTTTAAAAATATTTAAGAACATCAATAGTATGAACCTAGAAATTTTATTTGGAAATATCGATTTACATTTATTTATATATGGCCTCTACACTAATACAAATTCAATCTTTACTATAAAACACACTATTCAAAAATTTTGTCATGAATTTTACTCAGATACATTAATTTATGACTTAGATTCATTTGCATATGCCGCCACATTTATACTAATTTAATCTTTATCACATAAGACAATATCCAGAAAAATTTGGATAGTTGTTATATCTGGAATGGTAGACTCTCTCTTTAATAAAACATAGAGTAAAAATCAATTGTGACAAATTATTATTTTTAGATTCAATTAAATTAAACAAATTATGTATATAAAATTTTTTTAAATCTGGTCAGAAAAATATTAATGAATTAATGCCAATGATTTAACGAATAATTATTCAAAATTGATAATTTTAAAGATGAAAGAGGGTAAAATACTGAAATGACACAAACAAACCCTATTATCTTAGTTCATAGTTTTTCTTTCTTTCTTTTTTTTTTGTGGATAAATTACACTCATTTCTCTTGAAATTTAAAGAAAATACAGGCAGTCTTACACTTTTTACATAATTACAGTAACATCCCTTTTAGTATGATTAAAACTTCTGAAACTAAAGTCAATAGTAAGTAGACACTGAAATAAATAAAAACAAATATACATTTTAGTAAGAAATAGATAATATCATTATTTTCAATCATACGACTAATAAATTATGGATGAAAAAAGTGTAAGTATGATGTGAAATTAAATTTTGAGGGAGTTATGTCAAAAGTGTGAAATTAACTATATTATTTTTAAATTACAAGAAAAGTGAGTTTAATTTACTTTTATGAACAAAATTATTAGATGATTTGAAAATCAATATCAAAAATTGATTAATTGTCATTGAGAAAATTAATTTTTGAATTATGTAGTGTTATTCCAAAATTAACTTTAAAAAAAATAAATATTTAGCCTTATTTGAGAAGTTAACTATTTTAATTAGATTTTTAATTATTTTAACATAGTTTGTTTGGTTTAAGTTTTAGAGATGAGTTTTAGAAAAAAAAATTCAAAAAATTGTTTGGTTTGAGATTTTTCTCAAAAAAATTTCAAAATCACTTCTCTCTCTTACACATCAATCAATTACTTTTTCTCTCTCCTCTTTCCTTCTCAATCACTTTTTCTCTCACACACATCTACTCAATTTGTCCAAAATATCAAATCATCTCAAACTCCCACAAAAAATTTTTCTTTCAAAATATACAACCAAACAAACCAAAAAAATTTCTAAAATAACTCTTCCAATTTTTTTTCAAAAATAACTCTCTCAAAAACAAACCAAACAAGCCCACGTTTGTGAAGTTGATTAATTCTTTTTTAATAATTAATTTGCGGATTATGAGAAAAAAATAAAATAATAATTATAAATAAATGTTTTATTTTATTTTATTAACTATTTCAACTCATTTTATTTGGCATGCGAGTGTTTTAGAAAAAAAGTCAGAAAATTACTAAAAAAATTAAGGATAAATTACAAATACACATCTTGAGATTTTTTTAAAATACAGATTGCCCTTTGTGGTTTGAAAAATTACAAGTAACCCTTTATTAGAATTTTTTATTTAACAGAATTAACTAAAAAAATAAAATTTATATTTGCTCTCTAATACAATAATAAAATTACTTAAATTATTAATTGAAACATAATTTTAACATTATTAAAAATTATTAATTGACTTGATGATTTATTAATAAAAATGGCGATTTGAAATAAAATTAGAAATCTCAGGGGTAAAATGTAATTTTCAAAATCACAAGAGGAGATTTTGTATTTTAATCAAATCTTAGAGAATATATTTATAATTTGCCCAAAAATTAAAAAGCCTATAATATATATAAAAAAGTCAAAGATTTTATGTTTTTTTTTTTTTTTTTTTTTTTCTTATTTTTTTTAAAAAAAATTAATCGATTTACCTACTTTTTGTAGAAAAATCGAAACATTCCAAGTGTAGACTGCCTTCATTGCTAGCGATACACCCGTACACTTTGTGAGCCTTAATTCTCTGCCCCACGCATCCGAACCATTCCAGACTACTACAAAATGGCCCAAAAAAACGAACTGCCACCAACGTAATCCATCTAGGGACGACGATGCGGTTGGATTTGGCGAGCAATACAGGACGGAGAGGCAAGTGGGAGTGGGGGGAGCTGTCGGAGGCGACCTCGTTCGGAACCACTAATGATAGCGGC